TGTGTGAGGGTATACAAGCATGCCCTCTCCAACTACCTATAACAGACATATTTTAACTCTGTTATCAGCAACTAAGGTTCCCTTTTAGTCAGAATTTGCAACTGATTAGCAAACTTTGGTTAACTTGCTTTCAGCTAGTCAGTGGCAGTGTTGATGTAACACTTAATCACAGTTCAGGCTAGCAAGGAAAAGGCAGGAGAAATTGTGCTCAAGGCGGAAGGGAACACATGGCCCCACAACCAACTCCTTATCTCTTAAGCATTGTTACAAGATCGGGATCATTATTTACCTCAACCCAATGTGGCCTCTAAAGCCATTCATACTAATGCTTAGCAAAGTACTTAAGTTGCTTGTTGCTATTTAATGTAAAAGGAAGGAAATGAATAGATGAAAAATCAATAAAGAAAGATTGCTCTGAAAGGTCAACATGTCTTACAGGCAAATGTACTAGTCTTATTTGAGCAAAATTTTTGTTGGAACAAATTTCATTAAAAGTATGGTCAACATAATATTGAACTTCTTCACTTACGAAATATTTCAGCTTGCTTTTAAACAGCTCTGCACCAAAATCAATTAGAAATTTGCATTTTACACTTTGGAGATTGGAAATGTGAGGACAGAAAAGCTGTGTAAATCACAGCTATATGCAGCAACCTAATGAATCAGTGAAACATCTTTCCCCATCAAAAATGAGCCATATAGCAATGCATTTCCCAACTTTAAAATTAAATAGTAATGTTGACTTTTTGCCAATCAATCAAAAACATCATTTATAGAAACCAAAGAGCAAACCTCGTTTCCTCAATGACAACCAAGAATTTCAGCTATATAACCACCATTCTCTCTAACTAATCTTGTACTCTAGTTGTAATATATTGGCAGTTTTCTAAACTGCTACTACTACACAGCATATAACCTTGCTGTAAACAACATGCCAATATCAAGCAACCTCTTGGCCTCTTCTGTTTAGCAAATGACACAGCCTACAGAGCTGGGAAGTAGGGGGTATATGAAGAATTTCCTCTCGTCTCAGCAGGAACATTGGGATGGGTAGTCAGGTCCTGATAACAAGGGACAGATTGTGGAACAAATGGCAGCATCTTAGGGCTGCTTCACATCTTACATTTTTAATGCATACACATTTTATTTTAGGTAAACAGATGTGCACTATACCATCTGATGTGTGGTAAGAGTATTCCTTCCACTTTTCCTTTCTGAGACATCACCAAATTACTCAGTGAACAAAAACAGCAAAATTTGTAGCTGAAAAGGTGAATATAAATAACTATTATAGACAGTGCAGAAAACACTTGAGGAGAGTCAACCATCTTCCACCCATTTTCTTCAAGTGTGAGCTGTTCCAATAGTGTCTGGACAGCAAATGGCAACAGACTCCCAACTTCCCTCAGATTTCAAGCATGCCACATGTAACATTTTATTTACACTTATGAGAAATGTGTGCATACACACTGTAGAACTTAAGTAACATTGCCCACATGTATATTTTACTATATGCACCCTCACTCAGAATCTGTGTGTTGATGCAAATCCTTTTATTTCCAGAACTGATAACATGCTTTGCATGGCACTTATCCCAATAAAGTTATCATTTTGCAAATATTTTCCAGGGTCAAGATGTGCATCTTCTCCTGCAAATATGAAAATATGCAAGTTCAACAAACTCATACTTGTTCACTCACCTCCAGATTCTGTTTTTTCAACTTAGGTTCATCGACCTGTTGCTCCTTTTCTGATATGAGATGCTTCAGTTTTTCCTTTTTCTTTTCTGCCAAGTGATGCTTCATTTCTTCCTTTTTCTTTTCTGTCTTCACGTCGGCAGCTTTTCTTTTCTTTGCCATTCTAACAAACAACTGAAATGTGCATTTTTTGTTAAAGAATCTATGTGTCATTTCATTGTACATAAGAACCACCATCAATGCTTTATTTCTTGAAAATTTAGCAAGACATACAAATGTTTTTCACAAAGCTCCTGTCCTGAAAGCAAGTAGTTTTAAAGTGTCCTGCGTTTCCCCAGATGTTGTTGTACTATAACTCCCATCATCCCTGAGCTCTGGCCTTACTAGCTAGGGGTGATGGGAGTTGTAGTTCAACATCATCTGGGGACCCACAGGTTGAGAAAGGCTGGTTTAGGGGAACTCTTTCTCCATTGTCTCATCTGATGTGGAACCCTTGAGGCTGCATCATGGAAGCCCTGTGTGTTGAGCTGGGTTCTTCTAGGGCAGGCATAGGCAACCTCGGCCCACCAGATGTTTTCGGACTACAATTCTCATCATCCCTGGCCACTAGTCCTGTTAGCTAGGGATCTTGGGAGTTGTAGTCCCAAAACATCTGGAGGCCCAAGGTTGCCTATGCCTGTTCTAGGGCCTAGGCCAAATACTCAGCTCAGACTGGTCATTAGCATCATCCAAGCATCAAGCGAGTATCATAGAACACAACTAACACTCCCCTGCAACCTGGTAGTGGTGGGCAAGTCATCTTTTAGTATAAAAACTACTGTTAAGTAAATAAATGTACAACTTTTTGTTTTGACTTTTTATACATAATCTCAACTATTAATAAGTGCATTACATAGTTAAGTACATGGATTACCAAATTACAACCTGAACTGCATTCTTATATCTGCATGAGCAAAATATACTATCACGTTGTATGAATATTACATTTAACTCCATAAAAAATATATACTGGTTCTCTCAGCCTGTATCACTCATCTCTCAGCCTGTATCACTCAATATATGGCCACGCTGCGTCCATAGTTGCAATGATCAACATACAAGTATGTTCACTTTTTCACAGTCCTACAGGAACTACAAGAAAAAAGGGAAGAGTTGGTTCCTAGCTAAAAATACAACAGGGTGCCAAACTCCCTGTTTTCTAGGCTCCACCCATCTCCCCCCCCCTTACTGTAACTACGAAAGCCTAGTTCTGTAATTAATCTGGCAACTCTAATGGGGGTAGGATTGCATAAGAGAGCTATTAAAAATTCTCTTGGAAAGATTTGGTGGACAGACTTTACTTCCATACAACTGATTAATCACCGCATTTGAAAACAGGAATTAATTGTCCTCCAGGCAAATTGAGTGTGAGCTGGGGATTAATTTCCCCTATAATGTGGTATACAGCGCAATTGCTAGAGGCATCTAGATTCGTTTGTTGTTCCTTTGCTCCACAAGAACAGATGGCAGAGAGTAGTACTCTGAAGACAGCACACTACACTAGATAATGTGGACAAATATATAGACATTTGGGTTTTAGACAAAATATCCTCTGCCTGAATTAATTTCAAGCCTCTTGCAAAAGTGTACAGAACATAAATCCTAGAAACCTATATGCGGCCTAGCAGTAACAGGTGTTTTAAATCAAAAGGTACCCTACTTGATTCTAGAAACAACCTAGAACATTTCAAGGAAATGCCCTATCTGCTTTTGACTATAACGGATACTGTGATCAGTCACTTTTGCAGACAATAGGCTCCAACCTTCATTGGAAATATAATCCACCTCATGAAAAGTCATATATCTTGTCAGGATACAGCATTAATTAAAAAGCAAATATTTTCTGACACAGAGAGGCAGAATAGAACATGTAATCTTTGAGACAAAAGGCTGTCCCATTGTTTTTGTTGTGGCCATTTTAACATAGCTGCTCCTTGAGGTGTTTCTATTTTCCTCTGTGAAATGTTGCATAGCACCCCCTCCCCTTCTGAAGTAGGGATGTGCATTCATTAGTTCCTCCAGAAGATTAGCTGCCTCAGTCTGCAACATTTGATGGACTCTAGTCTGTGAAAGCTTACAGCAGTATTTCAAGGTGACATAAGACTCTTTTGTTTCTGATGCAACAAGTACAGGCTACATCTGGAAAACATTATTTTGGACACCTAAAAACAGGTTCAGCCAACCTGATCTCTAGATATTCTGGACAACTCACATCACCCCTGACCACTGACTATGATGGCTGGGGCTGATGTGAGTTGCAGTTCACATCTCGAGGGTACCACATAGACTACTCTACTACAAAGACTAACAGATTTATTGTAGTTTAAGCTTTCATGGATTAGGATCTATGTCACCATATGCACCTATGGCTACCCTGAGTTGGCAGGTGTTATGTGTACCATGGTTAATTTACCAAACTAAGAGAACATGGGGTACCTCTTTTGTTTTTCACGTTCAGCAAGTATTTAAACAGGCACTTGAAAGTACTGGATTTTAAACACCAGCTTAAAACACATTTGTTCTCTCAGGCGTTCACTGATTAATTTCGTTGTCCCCGAAGGGGGCAATGACAATAAAGATATTATTATTATTATTATGTGTGATCCAGTAAAGTTGATTGCGTATTAATTTGATGATTGACTTATAAGCTTTGCTCCTAGTGATGTAATTTAAGTGATTATTTTGTTTCCCACCCTTATTCCTTTTTCTTTGGCCGTATAGAAATGTTTACAATTAAATAGGTCTTAACCTCTGCAAGGCCTCGGTACTCCTCAGGTGGCCTGAGTAACCACCTCAAGAGGAGCAACTACATTACCCTGTGGTAAGAAAAAGTGAGAGTTTACAATAAATTTATTACAATATAAGCTTTCACGGGTGAAAAACAGCTTTGTCAGATGTTGGCAAGGGCAATAGGTAAAGGGACCCCTGACCGTTAGGTCCAGTCGTGACCGACTCTGGGGCTGCGGCGCTCATCTCGCTTTGTTGGCCGAGGGAGCCGGTGTACAGCTTCCAGGTCACGTGGCCAGCATGACTAAGCCGCTTCTGGAGAAACCAGAGCAGCGCACGGAAACGCCGCTTACCTTCCCGCCAGATTGGTACCTATTTATCTACTTGCACTTTGACGTGTTTTCGAACTGCTAGGTTGGCAGGAGCAGGGACTGAGCAACGGGAGCTCACCCCGTCGCGGGGATTCGAACTGTTGACCTTCTTATCGGCAAGCCCTAGGCTCTGTGGTTTAACCCACAGCGCCACCCGTTACGGCAAGGGCAATACCTAAACGTAATTCACGCAAAACTGTACAGTGACCGTTTTTAATGTTTTTTCCTCAGTCTGGCCTACCTATGTCACGTCTGTTGTGAGGCTAAACTGAGGGGTGGGGGTTGAGAGTCGGCGGCCAGCCACCCTCTTTCTCAGCCTGGCCTACCTCACAGGTCTGTTGTGAGTCCGGTTGGGGGAGGGAAATGAAGGCGCTCGTGAGGAAAGTGAGCAGGGCAGCGAGGGGGGAGAGTCCTTCCCTCACACAGGCACGTGTTGCGCGCCACCCCCTCGCCGGCGCCCTCCTGGTCGGGGTGGGGTAGGGACCTTCCTCTTCCCCACAGGAACCCTAGACCGCGACACCCACACCCGCCCCGGTCCCCTCAGAGGCGGCCGCCTCCCTCTCACGCCACCCACCTCACTCTCAAGCCCGCCTCCTCAGCTGCGGCCGCTCACGCGCTTCCTCGCGCACGTTTCAACCCAGCGCCTCAGACCGCCCCGGCGCTCCCATTGGGTGCCCGGAGGCCACGCGCTCGCTCGCATTGGACCCTCCGGGTTTCAATCAAGTAGCGGAGCTAATCAAAATCGAATGCTGCGGAACCCAGGCCCTCCTTCTCCGTCGCGCCCTGGGGGGGGGAGGGAAGGCGGGGCGGGGCTTGGAGCAAGCACGTGAAGAATGCGCGAGCCCTGGGTTTCTCCCTTCCTATTGGGCTCAAAGGCCGTCGCTCTTCTCCTCCCGCCCCACCCGTTACCTCGCCGCCTCGTCTAGTGCGCGTGACGTCTGCGTTCGCCGTTGCATTCACGTGGCTTTCTCTCTGGCTGGTTCAGCGCACTACCACGCCACAGGGAGATGCGCAAAACTGGGGCAGGCTCCAATTCAGACCACACCCAGGGAGAAGTAGATTATGATTGTGATTGTTTATTCAGTTTAGTAGCCGCTTTAAAAAAATTTTTTTTTAAAGTAGCCCAGCAAATTTTGGGAACCAGTGCAATTGTTTTCAGTGAAAGCATTAACTTTGTGGTATTCTGCCACAGTGATCAGTCAAGCACAGGGGTCAGCAAACTTTTTCAGCAAGGGGGCCGGTCCACTGTCCCTCAGACCTTGTGGGGGGCCGGACTATATTTTGAAAAAAATATATGAACGAATTCCTATGCCCCACAAACAACTCAGGGATGCATTTTTTTAAAAAAGGACACATTCTACTCATGTAAAAACACGCTGATTCCCGGACCGTCCGCAGGCCGGAGTTAAGGCGATTGGGCCGGATCCAGCCCTCGGGCCTTAGTTTGCCTACCCATAAACTAGAGCTATCAAGGTGGCTTGCAATAGATTTAAAAATACAGTAAAACAATAGTGGGGAGTGAGGTGTTGTCAGTCTGTTCTTAATACTAACTAGTATTATAGAGCAGCAGGGAAAATAAGCATTTTCTGCCCTAAATGTGATTCTGCAGGTCAGGGACTAATGTGTTTTCCCTATTATATTTGAGTGAAATTGAGTGATTATTATTTATAGGGGATGGGTACATCCCCTCTGGTACATCATGCTCCTTCTGGGGTAGTTTGTCCACCTTTGGTTCCTATCCTGCACTTGGCTCTCACCCGTGGCTCCCAGAAGCTGTCATCCCTGTGAGGTAGGCTGGGCTGAGAGGCAGTGACTGGCTTCCAAGGCCACCCAGAGACCTTCATGGCCGAGTGGGGATTTGAACCCTGGTCCGACACTTTAACCACTACACTACACTGTCTCTCAATGATTAAGAAATCATTGAGGTATTATTAGTGGGGCAAGAATATGGTGACCAGTACAGAGGAAGAGCCATGACTCCCTTTGGTCAGCTGTCAGAGGGATCATTTCCACATTTTGCTCTCGAAAGAAATGCATCTGCTGGAATATTTACAAGACGCACAAAATTACATTCCTTCCTTTTAAAGGCAGGACTAAGACGTGACAGTTTACACAACAAACCTCTCAGCTGTGACACCCTGTGGCTGGATCTGATATTGCATCCAAGACTTCCACAGACACCAGGTTTTGCAGGGACACTGCCCAACTTTAAAGCCATAATCTCACATTTGAAAAATTTAGGCCTCCATGTTCTTGATAACACTATTGAACTCCGGCAGCCGCTTTCACTGTACCCCTTTTGGCACGTGCTAAAAATATTGTTTAGACAAGCCAGAGCTAATGTTTAGAGAAAGCCGGTGCAAGTTTTGACGTTTTTAGTTGATTGTTATTTTTACTTTTCGAAAGTTTTAAATTGCTCATTTTTCTTATCGGTGATTTATTGTTTTATCTTTTTTGCAACCTGCTTTGAGGTTCATTTGTTCTTACAATCAAACGGGGTATAAATTTTATGAAATAAATAAAATTTCATAGAATCATAGAGTTGGAAGAGACCACAAGGGCCATCGAGTCCAACCCCCTGCCAAGCAGGAAACACCATCAGAGCACTCCTGACATATGGTTGTCAAGCCTCTGCTTAAAGACCTCCAAAGAAGGAGACTCCACCACACTCCTTGGCAGCAAATTCCACTGTCGAACAGCTCTTACTGTCAGGAAGTTCTTCCTAATGTTTAGGTGGAATCTTCTTTCTTGTAGTTTGGATCCATTGTCCGCTTCTCTGGAGCAGCAGAAAACAACCTTTCTCCCTCCTCTATGTGACATCCTTTTATATATTTGAACATGGCTATCATATCACCCCTTAACCTCCCTCTGTAGCAAAGAGGGGGGAAATGAAGCATTTTATGGGTAGGATCGTTTTATTATTTCGTTTTTGGAAAGGTCTTCCTCCTCTCTAGTGAGGAGGGATTTGGGGTGGGGCATGGCAGGGAAGAAGAGAAGAGAAGGATGAACACAGGACATGGCTTCATTTATCAAAGCAGCTTTTGCCAAACTGGTAAAGGTAAAGGTAAAGGTACCCCTGCCCGTACGGGCCAGTCTTGCCAGATTCTAGGGTTGTGCGCTCATCTCACTCTAGAGGCCGGGAGCCAGCGCTGTCCGCAGACACTTCCGGGTCACGTGGCCAGCGTGACAAGCTGCATCTGGCGAGCCAGCACAGCACACGGAACGCTGTTTACCTTCCCGCTGGTAAGCGGTCCCTATTTATTTGGACTGCAACTTCCATCATTGTTAACTGTTGGCCGTGCTGGCTGGTGCTGATGGGAGCTGGCGGCCAAAACATGTGAAGGCCACCAGACTGGCAAAAGCTGGATGGCTCAAGGCATCGTACTTGCAAGCCATTAAACTTGGGGCAATGCAACAAATCTCCTCCTTGCTTCTTGGGAGATTTATCCAACAAGTATAGGACTTGGTTTCAGGTTTTCCATTGACTGAACTACCAGAGAAGCACCTCTATTTGTAAAGACGTCGGTTTTTATTGAAGAAATAGACATATAAAAGTAATATAGAAAATACGCAGAAGTTTTAAGAGCTAAATCTGTACAGCAGTCAACAGGACAAGGCAGACTGGGACCCAGGCTGTGAAAACTTCAGCTTTTTGCTTTGCAACTGAAAAAAACAACAACAAGCAATTAGTTAGCAATAAGCTGCAGCTAATGAAGAACCACCCATTTCTCAGAAGACATGTCTCTACCTTTGTAGTACGCCCACATCTTACGTACAGGTGAAACTCGAAAAATTAGAATATCGTGGAAAAGTTCATTGATTTCAGTAATTCAACTTAACAGGTGAAAGGAATATATGAGATCGACTCATGACATGCCAAGCGAGATATGTCAAGCCTTTCTTTGTTATAATTATGATGATCATGGCGTACAGCTGATGAAAACCCCAAATTAACAATCTCAGAAAATTAGAATATTCAATGAAATCAGCAAAACAAGGATTGCAAATCGAGCAAGAGTGGACCTCTGAGAAGTAGAAGCACATCTCGCTTTGCATGTCATGAGTCGATCTCATATATTAGTTTCACCTTTTAAGTTGAATTACTGAAATCAATGAACTTTTCCACGATATTCTAATTTTTCGAGTTTCACCTGTACTTCTAATTTGCAGTATTTCTTTATATATGGGCACGGTTGGGATGCTCTCAACAAGATCTTGCGGGAAGTTGGATTGTCTCGCGAAAGCATCCTGTACACTCCCAAAGCCAGTGTACTGAGTGGGCCTTGCCAAGAAGCAAGGCTGAGTGCTTAAAAGCTATTTTTTTGCACTGCATAGCCCCAAGCAGACCTGGCGAGAAAAGAGCTTTTAAGCTCTCGGCCTCGCTTCCCAGGCAAGATCCACTCAGCACACCAACTCTGGGACTAGTAGGCATACGTTCTCCCACTAAGATACACTCTTTCAGGTAGCCTCGGCCCAAGCCATATAGCTAGTGGCCCTCAAAAGTCCAAGTGCAAAATGAAGTTGATGCTACAAGTCTGGGTCTGCCCACTTCTGTGGTACGTGTCAGGTGAGATTCTGCTCCAGTTATTAGGTTCAACAGACTTTGGAGAAGCACGCCAGCCCCATTTAATCCAGAATGTGGCTGCCAGACTGGTGACTGGGAGTGGCTGTCAGAGCCGTATAACACCGGTCCTAAAAGATCTACACTGGCTCCCAGTACATTTCCAAGCCCAATTCAGAGTGTTGGTGCTGATGGCTTCAGCCCAGTATACCCGAAGAAGCATCTCCACCCCCATCATTCAGCCCAGAGACTGAGGTCCAGCTCCAAGGGCCTTCTGGCAGTTCCCTCCCTGCAAGAAGAGAGGTTACAGGGAACCAGGCAGAGGGCCTTCTTAGTAGTGGTGCCCACCTTGTGGAACGCCCTCCCATCAGATGTCAAGGAAATAAACATGACTTTTAGAAGACACCTGAAGGTAGTCCTGTTCAGGGAGGTTTTTAATGTTTGAGGTTTTCTTTTGTGTGTGTTTTAAATACTTTGATGGAAGCCGCCCAGAGTGGCTGGGGCTACTCTGTTGTTATTTACCTGTTCTGCAGAACCCGGTGGTTGAGAGACATCTTGTTTGATTCCAGCGATCTCATCAGAGCAGCACATCTGCAAGGAAACAGCCACACTCAGCATTCTGCATGCACCTGCCAGCTGTGCCACTTCTGGGTTTGTGCATCCGTCATTCAGGAAGCCTCACTGCACAAGGCAATGGTCTCTTTGCCTGCGGGGGACAGGACATTTTGCCACAGGAGAAGAAGGGGGAAAAGCTGACATCATTCAGAAAGACCAATACAGTGGACCTGCAGATTACATTACCTTCGGGTAACGTAACTTTCAGGTTGCAAACGCGGCAAACCCAGAAGTGTATTCTTCCGGGTTTTGCCACGCGCACATGCGCAGAAGCGCTCTATCACACCACGCACGTGCGCAGAAGCGGCACCTCTACTTGCGGAATTTCGGGGTACGTACGGACCCCTGGAATGAATTACATTCGTATCTCGAGCGTCCACTGTACAGGTTTTAAGGTCTAAGTCCACACTGCTGTCTATTGATCACATTAGACTTATGCAGGCCTTTGGCAAGACAGCATACAAATAAAATCATGTATGCATGGGAGCTGGCTTGCAGAAGGCCTCAGAAGTTCACAAGGCTACACTGGCTTTAAAACCCTCAAGAGGATTTAAAACATTTAATATTTTCTGCAGGCAGCTTCTTGAGCCAGCAGAGAAGTTCTAGCCAGCAGCGGAGGAAGCCTCTCAGGCGCCTAGGGCGGTGCGCCCATAGGGGCAGGGTGAACCACCCATAGGGACGGCACAGGGCGCATGGCACCCATAGGGATGGGGTGCGCCGTGGGGCCTCAGCCAACCTACAGCTGGAAGGGAGGCAGCGGGTGGACAGTGCGGAGCCTGCGGGTGCCCGAGACGCGTGGCTCAGGCGTGTTGTAGGCCCCGCAGTGAGTGCCACCCACTATTTTTCTGCCCCTGTCAGGTGACACCCAGGGTGGAACCCCTCCCCCAACGCCCCTGGTTCTAGCCTTACCCAGCTTTGGAAATGGCCCGGGCTTGTCCTTTGCAGGCATGGTCCAGAGGATGTCGGTGTTTCAGACAGAAGTTCCCCTGACACTGGTCGCAAACCAGCTTCATCATCTCCCTCTTTTTGCAGCCTGGCTGGAAGCACTTGTTTGTGAAGATCTAGATTAAGAAGGAAGTCAGGTTACAACTGGACCAGGAAAGTTGACCGTCCCACAAAGATTCCACAACTGCCTACCATTTTAATGGTTGCAATCCCATGGCATGCTCACCTGGGAGCAAACTCCATTTAGCTAAGAGGGACTTGGGTGAACTGGTCTAGGACTGTGTTGCTAAGACTAAATCCAATAAGAGAATCTGGCTTCCCTGTAGTGCAATGGAAGGGAACCTTTTTCAGCTCCAGGGCCACATTCCCTTGAGGGCAGGCTTCCAGGGGCCACACACCCAGTCGTGGGCAGGTCAAGGGATGCAACTTTTACCTTTACGTAAGCTACATTCCAGCCACACAAAAAGGAGGTTTGCACACACACCAAAAGGCTCAGGACCACAATACCTTAAGGACTGTCTCTCCTCATACAAATCACAGCTGATGTAGAATTTGGGGGTTAGGTTGCTCACCAGAAGAAGACAGCTTGAAAATATTACACCATTCCTAGCCTGACCGCACCAGCTGCCAATTAAGTTTCCAAACCCAATTCAAAGTGCTGATTTTGACCTATAGATATTTAAATGGTTCAGGACCACAATACCTCAAGGACCGACTCTCCCAATATGAACCTATCTGGTCCCAATGATCATCCTCTGAGGCCCTTCTTCATGTGCCTCCTCCATGAGAGGGTTGGAGGATGACAACACAAAAACGGGCCTTTTCTGCAATGCTTCCCTATTTGTGGAATACTCTCCTCAGGGAGGTTCGTGTGACGTCTTCATTATACAGTCAAACCTCGGCTCTGTTTTGGAACATTTCGGCTCCTGAACGCCAAAAACCCGGAAGTAAATGCTCCGGTTTTCAAACGTTTTTCGGAAGCCGAACGTCCAATGTGGCTTCCGCTTGAATAATAATAATAATAAATTTTTATTTATACCCCGCCCCACTGTTGTTTTTATTATAGGTATTTTGTGTTTTTTATATTATAATTTTATGTATTGAACCACCCTGAGATCTACAGACAAAGGGTAGTATACAAAATTAATAAACAATAATAATCAGGCAAACAAGAGGTATCGCAGTTAAGAACACTTCCCAGCCAGCCAAAAGCACTCTTGATCCAGTGAAGAGCTTACAGTATAACTTTTATGAAACAACTTAAATACAGTGGTGCCCCGCAAGACGAATGCCTCGCAAGACGGAAAAACCGCTAGACGAAAGGGTTTTCCGTTTTGAAGTTGCTTCGCAGGACGAATTCCCCTATGGGCTTGCTTCGCAAGACGAAAATACCTTGCGAGTCCTGAGATTTTTTTTTCGCTTTCCCCCCCCTTTATCTAATCTGCTAAGCCTTTAATAGCCTTTAATAGCCTTTTAGCAGCTAATCCCTAAGCCTTTAAGCCTTTAATAGCCGCTAAACAGCTGATAGCGCTAATAGCGCTAATCCGTCAATGGGCTTGCTTCGCAAGACGAAAAAACCGCTAGACGAAGACTCTTGCGGAACGGATTAATTTCGTCTTGCGAGGCACCACTGTATAGCTGTTTTCTTCGAAATTCTTAGGGGCCTTCAAAGAAGAACTTTGGAAATCTGTGTCCTCCCCAAAGTTGGGTTGCCAGCTAGGAAAGTGTTTGAGCATCTCCTGATTAAAGATAAACGGGATACAGAGCAGGGACCTCATCTTGAACTGCTGTGTACATCCAGTATAGCTCTGGGAAAAGGTCCTAACCTTTTGCTTCTGCTGAGCAGAATCACGTTTGCAGTCTCTGTCCATGTGGGCACTAACAACAGCATCCGGCACCTCTCCCTTCTTTACTGGGATGGGAGTGTTACAGAGAGGACAGACTGGAACTTGCACATCCTGAAAAAGCAACTGGATATTAGCGAGGAAATACGGCTGCAGAACTCAGGTGTGTTAAGGCGCAAAGTCTGCATTCCATCATGCACAACCCCATCCCTGCTTTGGTCCTACGAACACGTTGTGTTGTTATCTACAGCTACTTCTTTTCAAAAAATGCCAGCTATTCAGTTTTGCAGCGCTGTTCTTCATGTCACACACACTAGTCGTTTCACCCTTTCTGCAGTTTACATTACCTTCTGGTATGCACAGGAACACTTGTGCTGGTTATAGGCAAAGTGGTCTTTGCAAAAGACCTCACCGCATGCATCGCATTTCAGAGGTAGAAAGTCTACAAGGAAAAAAAGAGAAAACACACCTAGGTCAAGGAAAATGTGGAATGAGGAGTCACATATAACCAACATAAAAGGTAAAGGGACCCCTGACCATTAGGTCCAGTCGTGGCCGACTCTGGGGTTGCGGCGCTCATCTCGCTTTATTGGCCGAGGGAGCCCGCGTACAGCTTCCAGGTCATGTGGCCACCATGACTAAGCTGCTTCTGGCGAACCAGAGCAGTGCACGGAAACACCGTTTACCCTCCCGCCGGAGCGGTACCTATTTATCTACTTGCACTTTGACGTGCTTTTGAACTGCTAGGCTGGCAGGAGCAGGGACTGAGCAACGGGAGCTCACCCTGTTGTGGGGATACGAACTGCGGACCTTCTGATAGGCAAGTCCTAGGCTCTGTGGTTTAACCCACAGTGCCACCCATGTCCCTATAACCAACATACTCAAGTCTAATTAATGCATGAAGGGGTTAAGGGCATAGAGTAAGCTGTTCTGCCAGGCTTAGCTAGGTCACTCCACCTCCCCCTGGGAGGAAGGGTTATCAAGCCTTTGTTCTTCCCATTCCACCATGTGAGGAGCTCTAAACTGGATTATCCAAGCCCTGAAGCACCTGTTGTGGCCAGTTTTATTGTAAACTGCCCAGAAAGGCATTGGTTATTGGCAGTATAGAAACGCTGTAAGCAAGCAATATAGTTATATTTGCTTTTTTGCAATGCAAGCCACCTTGGCAAGTTGGAAAAGTGAGGGAGAAATAAGCCAAGGCTGGGGACTTTGCTGCCCCTCCAAATGTTCTTGGGCTCCCACTTCCTCTCACCGTAGACAATGGCGAGCAACAATGGGAGCTTTACTCCAGGAAGGCCACAGCTTTCCCATCCCTGATACAGACTCCTCATTTATTACATGCTCTTTATATCTCTGTAGCCGCTCCTTCCTGCTCTGGTTGTCTGCCCGATACCATGGCACTCTACCTTTACGGAAAGGTCCAAACATAGCATCAACACCCCCCTGAGGAGTTTCTCACCTAGCTGCTTGCAGGTCTTCTCAGAGCAGTGTTTCCCCAAATCTGGAAATTCCATTTCTAGGAAGCAGCCTGCTTTTCTTAAAGAGTTCTTTGTTACCTGTAAGAGGAGGTACTACTGGTTTAAATGCATCAGGTTTTCCAAGAAGCCTGAAAATAGGCAATATAAAGTCAGGTGTTTATCTTCCGAGCCACAAATGACCAGGGTCTTCTATTCAGACAAATCACTATGGACATGCTTGCAAGGCTAAATGATATCTAAGTAAACAAGGTGCATAGTAGCGTTGTTAGAAGTGCCTGTTAATTCCATAGGAATAAGGAGCTAGAGGTGTGAGCAAGCGTCCAATCAGCCACGGCCTGGATTCATTTCAAGCAAGCTGAATGTTTTACCCTTGAGAACTGCCTAATTGACATTTGGGACACTTTTATCAGAGAAAACCAGTTTCTCACCCAGCTGAACAAAGACACCAATATCTAAAGGGTTGAATTACAGGTGCCGAGGGAGGCACAAAACACAGAAGAAAAAGCGGAATACAGTGGTACCTTGGGTTACATACGCTTCAGGTTACATACGCTTCAGGTTACAGACTCCGCTAACCCAGAAATAGTACCTCGGGTTAAGAACTTTGCTTCAGGATGAGAACAAATCGGGCTCTGGCAGCACGGCAGCAGTGGGAGGCCCCATTAGCTAAAGTGGTACTTTAGATTAAGAACAGTTTCAGGTTAAGTACGGACCTCCAGAATGAATTAAGTACTTGACCCGAGGTACAACTGCATTGACTCAAAAAGTCATGTATAGCTGTATCTTACATTTCCTTATTGGCAATTGTGACAGCTTATTTCCCCCCTAAATAAAAATAAAAATATTTTCTCTGTAATCTGTTTTATAGTTATTAACATTTAATAAAATGTATCTGAAGAGGCAGGGGTGGAGATCATCATAAGCACAGAGGGAGCAGTTCCTAAGCCTATGCCGTTTCAGAGGGTTGGAGAAGGAAGTTAGACAAACCAGTTAACAGCAAGACAGCATTAACAATGATTTGTATAGTATTTATATTTCTGAGAGGAAAAAAGTACTGGTACAATCCAAAGCAAAGCACCTTTTCACCCCAGCCGTTTTAAGATACTGCATGGAAATGGGAATATTTTTTTCACCTATCAATAAAAAAATCCCTCCTTCCCGCCTCGTATAATTTAAGGCACAGAATGACAGCAGTACAGAAGAATGAAGAAACGAACAGATTCTTTAAAAATAAAGGAAGAGTTAAAGGGTAAATCAGCTGACAGACCAACGGCAGCACTTTACTTACCGTTTCCCTGATGCCCCAAACTCTGTATTTCTCTGGTTTCTAGTGAAGTTCCAAAAGAGTTGTTAAGTTTCGACTTCTACAGAGCTTTATGTAGGTGGATTCTATATGCTGAATCATGCTTCGCTTCTTCCGCTTCCCGGTTCCCCAATCCGAAGTAGCCGGCTTTGACGTCACTGCACCACCCGACCAATCGAGACGTCGCTCGTCCCGCCGGGTTTCTGCTGAATCACGAAAGTGTTGATTGTCCGCGGGCGGCGTGGCAGCGATGGGGGAATTGCGCTGAGTCAGCCTTGCTTTCTCAAGCCCTCCACGCGAGTTAGGGAATCCGCGTGAATTGGTTGGGCATCCTATCCAGGGCCGGATTGAGGTTTGATGAGGCCCTAAGCTGCTGAAGGTCATGGGGCCCTTTCTATGTCCAGCTGTCCTTTGTCAACAACAAATTGTCGCAGTTTTTTGTGTTGAATATATGCTATATGGTAATTTATAGACCTAATAGGTATCCAAAGCCATTTGCACATAACAAAATATGTATTTTATCAAAGTAATTGTTGAGCTGGAATACAATTAAGAAGAAATATATTAATAGTGAAATAATTATTAAGCTCTAACTTAAAATGATTGGGGGCCCATTGCTTACATCATAGGAGCCTACACAACACAAAACACTGTTGCTGTATTTAGGTTTTATGTTATTTGTTTTTTATCTTATATTTTGGAAATGTGCATCCAGGTTTTTTTCCTTTTAATTTTTTTTTGGGGGGGCCAAGAGAGAGGGGCCCTAAGCTATAGCTTGTTTAGCTATATTGGAAAGTATTGGAAAGACCCTGATGTTGGGAAAGATGGAGGGCACAAGGAGAAGGAGACGACAGAGGACGAGATGGTTGGACAGTGTTCTCAAAGCGGCCAACATGAGTTTGACCAAACTGCGGGAGGCAGTGGAAGACAGGAGTGCCTGGCGTGCTCTGGTCCATGGGGTCACGAAGAGTCGGACACGACTAAACTACTAAACAACAACAACAGTATACGTAAATCCGGCACTGATCCCATCCATGCCTTTTGCACACATGCACACCTACTCTGAAGTAAATCCTATTGATCTCAGGGTGCAAGGGCCGCCTTCTGCGTAAAGTGTGCAACTATACAAAGTTTCCCCATGGTGTTTTGGTGGAGAAGCTGCTAAAATGTAGGTTGGATGAGGTAACTTTTGGATCTGTAGCTGGTTGAGTGACCAAACTCAGTAACGATTCCTCATCATCCTGGAAAAAGGGACAGCTGGAATGCCACACCATAGAGTTGTCATGGGCCTGTTTTGTTTTGTTTTGTTGTTTTTTTTTTAAAATGATATTTATTAAAATTTCAATAAAAGATTAAACATAAAACATAAAAAAGAAATACACAATTCAAAGTATACAATACATAATCTAAAAGAAAAAGAAAAAATAAAGAAACAAGAAAACAAAAGACAAAAAAGAAAATAGAGCAATTAAAAACAGTATCATCTTTTCGTCTCCATTTTTAAATTTACTTATTTTCTGGACCTCCTCGTACCTCCCTCGTACCTGGACCTCCTCGTACCTCCCTCTTTTGTATTCCAATTCAAATTGTTTGTCCAGCAATTTCTTTCCCTCTTTTTTTAATCCCAATCTTAACTCTTAATATAATATAACATTAAGTCATGGGCCTGTTTTGTTCAATGTCTTCTTTATAAACAGCTTAAGATGAAGGAGAAATATATTTTTAAAAATAATGATAATTGTCCAGTAGCACCTTAGAGACCAACTAAGTTTGTTCTTGGTATGAGCTTTTGCTAGTTGGTCTCTAAGGTGCTACTGGACAATTTCTAAAAAATTTTTTATTGGAATTTTATTTACAACATAACCCCCCCACCCCACATACACAAATCCACCCTGATTAAACGTGAACATAACATACAGTGAGCATAACATACAACCATACAAACCACCAAATAAAAGACTTCCTTTATCCCGTATCTGGGCTCTTTATTTACTTCTTATAAACTGTTTCCTTTATGAATAATTATTAAGGTTTTTCTAATTATAACTTAAATATCCACAAAGTCTCCTGCATACATTAATCAAAACAAGTCCAGGTATGTATTTTAGGGCACTGTTTTGTGAAGTATTCTCTGAATTTTCCCCGTGCTTTTTGAAACACTTGTCTAGTGTGATCTCTAATTGCCTCTAATTATATATATATATATATACTGCGTCAGACCAACACAGCTACCTAATTGGGGAGGGGGGGAGATCTTCCAGTTTGCAGATGGCACCAAACTGGGAAGTGTAGCTAATGCTGGAGAAAAGAGAATTGGGGATCAATATGACCTTTACGGATTGGACAACTGGGTCCAAACTAACAAAATTAATCACAATAGGGACAAATATAAGGTTTTACACTTAGGCAGGAATAACAAGCTGCACAGATATAAGAAGGGGCACACCTGGTTTGTCAGTAGTATATGTGAAAAGGATCTAGGGGTGTTAGTGGACCACAAGCGTAACATGAGCCAACTCTGTGATGCAGCAGCAAAAAAAGCTAATGCTATTCTAGGCTGCATCAACACAAGTATAGTGTCCTGATCCAGGGAAGTAATAGTACCACTCTATTCTACCTTGATTAAACCACACCTGGAATACTGTGTTCAGTTCTGGGCAATACAATTTAAGAAGGTTGTTGACAAGCTGGAACATGTGCAGAGGAGGGCGACCTGTTGGGGGGGGGAGCTGGGTATGTTTAGCCTGGGGGAAAAGGAGACAGAGAGCTGATATAAAAGCCATCTACAAATATTTAAAGGGCTCTCAGATAGAAGAGGGAGGAAGTTTGTTTTCTCCTGCTCTGGAGGGTAAGACCTGAACAATGGATTCAAGTTAGAGGAAAGGAGATTCCGACTACACTTCAGGCAGAACTTTCTGACAGTAAGATATGTTTGACTGTGGAACGGACTCCCTCTGGAGGTGGTGGACTTTCTTTACTTGAAGGTTTTTTAAGCAGAGGTTAAAGGTATGAAAAGCTCAAGAGCAGACTAGGCTGTCATTTTCTGGGCAGTTAGCAAGCTTTCTTTGAAAGCACAGTCTTCTATGAATATTTTGTTAAACTAGTTGGTGTCAGGAAGTCACCATGACCAGGACAGCGTGTTCAGTGACGCTGACCAAGCTGGATGCTGTGTAAAAGCAGGGCACGGGGGTCATGTGATCTCCCTATGGCCTTACATCATGCTCACAAGACACTGACTCATGTCTTCACATTGAGCAAACAGATAACAGGCATGAGGTTATTTTTTTAGTTGTTGCTTTTTAAACAGTGCTTTATAGATTGTGGTTGTGCTGTATTGGTGATGTTCTATCATGTCATTGTTATTTATTGTTTGTAAGGCGCTTTGAGATTCATTTGAATGAAAAGCGGCATGGAGATATAATAAACAACATTATTTATTTACTTATTTATACCAAGCATAGGCAAACTCAGCCCTCCAGATATTTTGAGACTACAATTCCCATTATCCCTGACCACTGGTCCTGTTAGCTAGGGATGATGGGAGTTGTAGTCTCAAAACATCTGGAGGGCTGAGTTTGCCTATGCCTGATTTATACCCTGCCCATCTGGCTGGGTTTCCCCAGCCACTCTTGTATATTAAAATACAATAATTCATCAAATATTAAAAGCTTCCCTAAATAGGGCTGCCTTCAGATGTCTTCTAAAAGTCAGATACCGGTAGTTGTTTATCTCCTTGACATCTGATGGGAGGATGTTCCACAGGGCGGGTGCCACTACTGAGAAGGCCCTCTGCCTGGTTCCCTGTAACTTGGCTTCTCACAGGGAGGGAACCAGCAAAAGGCCCTCAGCGCTGGACCTCAGTGTCCGGGCAGAACAATGGGTGTGGAGAAGCTCCTTCAGCTATACTGGGCTGAGGCCATTTAGGGCTTTAAAGGTCAGCACCAATCTTTGAATTGTGCTCAGAAACATACTGGGAGCCAATGAAGGTCTTTCAGGACTGGTGTCATATGTTCTTGGCAGCCACTCCCAGTCACCAGCCTAGTTGCCGCATTCTGGATTAGCTGTAGTTTCCAGGTCACCTTCAAAGGTAGCCTCACGTAGAGCGCATTGTAGTAGTCCAAGCGGGAGATAACCAGAGCAAAATCAAAAATCTAACAAATGAGCAAATGTGTCACTGATTGGAAATTAAGATAGAAACCTTAGCTAAAGGGGGGTTGTTCCCTTTCTCCTTGTGAACGGTAGTGTGAATGATGCACTTGCTGGTCAGTTCTGGATGCATTTAGTTTCCTCCTGACCTCACTATCTGCACCATCCTCACCAGTACTTATAATATTATACAATTTCATAGAATCATACCCTTTAAGTTGCCATAAGACATTTTTGCTTGTTCAGAAAACCGTCCCCCAAAGAAAACACTTTAAAGAGTTCCCAGGAACACATACTATTAATATTGATATACAAGATCACATCTACCTGCCTTGCATATTAAGCAATGTGGCAGAAGCAGGGAGTGGGAACGCCATCACTAAGTAGATTACCCTTCCCAGTCTCTACTTTCAAAAGAAACACACGCACAGGGAACCAAAAACACCACTTGGTGAGGGAACCAAAAACACCACTGGGTTGGCGAAAGCCCCTTTTGTCAATCTATATAGCTCTGTCTTCAATCCAGATTTTAGCTTGCAAAACTCCTCCGTTTTTCTTAAACCTCCACCACTCCATTCCATTCCCTCCCAGCGTGATTTCCTACCAGGGCCGGATTGAGGTTTGATGAGGCCCTAAGAAGCTACTTGTTAAGTTGTGGGTGAACTTGTCAGATGACACAGCGATTCTCCAAACAGCTCTTGTTTATTCACAGGCCAGAACAGAACTGAACTGAAGGGTTCAGCCAGACTGCTTATATAGAGCTCCACTAGAAGGCAACAGTAACCACTTTCTGTAATCCAATCACTGAATGTCACTTTCAATCACTTTCAATCCCTTATTTGCATATGTGGACCTGAGTGAAAACTATCCACAGCATCCCCCTGCTGGCCCAGGGTGAGAACTTCAGTACATAACACTACTGACGGTAATGGGGCCCTTTATATGTCCAGCTGTCCTTTGTCAACAACAAATGGTCATTGTTTTTTGTGTTGAATAGATGCTATATGGTAATTTATGGACCTAATAGGTATCTAAAGCCATTTCCCCATGTTGCCATGCAACTAGTCCATGCAGAATGTAAGCACCCTATATATAGAAATGAACAAACCAGTGATATTTTAAGGAACAGGCTAGCAGGCGGGGCCCATGACTTACATCATAGGTGCCCACACAACACAAAACACTGTTGCTGGATGTAGGTTTTATTTTATTTGTTTTTTATCTTATATTTTCGAAATGTGAAAAGGTAAAGGTAAAGGTACCCCTGACCGTTAGGTCCAGTCGCGGACGACTCTGGGGTTGTGTGCTCATCTCGCTCTATAGGCTGAGTGAGCCAGCGTTTGTCCACAGACAGCTTCCGGGTCATGTGGCCAGCATGACTAAGCCGCTTCTGGCGAACCAGAGCAGAGCACAGAAATGCCGTTTACCTTCCCGCTGGAGCTGTACCTATTTATCTACTTGCACTTTGACGTGCTTTTGAACTGCTAGGTGGGCAGGCGCTGGGACCGAACAACAGGAACATGTACATCCAGGGGTTTTTCCCTTTAATTTTTTTTGGGGCCCCCAAAGAGTGGGGCCCTAAACTATAGATTGTTTAGCTTATACGTAAATCCGGCACTGTAAATTCCTGCACCCATGTCTAAGGTTCCCAATCAGATTATTGGGGAGGAAGACTGTCCTGGAGGCAGAAGGGGGAAAATGCTACAATGGGATTGAGGGGGCAGCTACTCACCCCACCCATGTCTGTGCTATAATTTGCAGCCAACTTTTGCCTCATGTGCCCCACAACAAGAGATACTGTATTTTTTGCTCTATAAGACTCACTTTATCCCTCCTAAAAAGTAAGGGGAAATGTGTGTGCGTCTTATGGAGCGAATGCAGGCTGCGCAGCCATCCCAGAAGCCAGAACAGCAAGAGGGATTGCTGCTTTCACTGTGCAGCGATCCCTCTTGCTGTTCTGGCTTCTGAGATTCAGAATATTTTTTTCCTTGTTTTCCTCCTCCGAAAACTAGGTGCGTCTTGTGCGTCTTATAGAGCGAAAAATACGGTACATGAATATCGACCTCTTCCGCAGTGGCTTCCCATTTGTGGAATGCTCTCCTGAGGGAGCTCACCTGTCAGGTTCATTATATATCTTTAGGTGCCAGGCAAAAACATTGCTCTGTTCAGCCTTTGGCTGATGAAACAATTTATAGCCTTTTAAACTGGGTGGGACATTGTTTTTGCTTATTATTGTGCTATGTATTTCCGTGTTTTTCTGTTGTAAATGACCCTGTGGCCCTCAATGCTACTGAGAAAGGTGCTCATCTGAGGAGCTTGACACCTGGGCAGGAAGTACTCTGGAATGTCTTTTGGCAAAAAAAAAGCTCAGCTTTTGTGTCCAGATTTTCGCCTTTTGAGATATGGCAACCTTATATAGGGCAGGCACCCCCAAACTCGGCCCTCCAGATGTTTTGGGACTACAATTCCCATCACCCCTGACCACTGGTCCTGTTAGCTAGGGAAGATGGGAGTTGTGGTCCCAAAACATCTGGAAGGTCGAGTTTGGGGGTGCCTGATATAGGGAGATACAATATTTCAGGTAGCCTTGAGCCCAAGCCCTATTTAAAAGCCATTTTTCCCAATTCACTTTTTCTAAAACAATATGCAAATTTAACCTTGGCTGTCCTTCTAAA